CTTTTAATTGCTCTTTTTTTTTTTTTTTTTTTTCTTTCAGTGCATGCAGGTTCAGAAGTAAGCACAGACTTTTCTTGATTTGGCATTGGGGGAAAAGCTTTTATTCTTTTGGGGGCCAGGGTGGGGGATGGTCTTCGTTGTGTTTATAGGTGCTGTTCTTCTTCCTTCTTTGAATTGCCTGGACTGTATCAGTTTGTGAAATCCACAGGCAAGTGACTTGGGTAAATGTGAGTGCCAAAGGTGGTGGTGGTGGTGGTGGCGGCGGCTACAGTAATGTATACAACTAGTTGATGGTGAATTTTCCTATGGGGCTGTGGGGTGGTTTTCAGCTAATCTCACCCTTTTCTTTTAGCGGCCCCCAGTCTCCCCAATAGACCTTTAAAAAAAGAAAAGGCGTGCCAGTTTGCAACCAGGACTTGTCCTTCCTTTGTTTTTGATTTAAGTGATCAGGTTGCAGGAAGCTAGCAGATATGGAAGGAGAGAAGCTATGTATTTTCTAAGACTTAATGTGTTAATGGCAGAAGTTCAAAGCATCTCTCCAGATGCAGCTGCCTTTTCTTTTTAACAAATATTTGACTGTTTTCCCCCCAAATGACCTAACAGTTCTTAAACCTAAGTTGACTAGGATCTGTTGGGCATCCAGATAGATACAACTCTTCTCTCATCACCCCTTTTGATGCAATATTTATAGCCCCCCCCAACACACCAGTACTTAACACTAAACAACAACAACAACAAAACCCTGAGATCAGTGGTGTAGAAAAAAAGGGAAGTCTCTTTAGATGTGGCTATTGGAAATGACTAATTGTGCATTCTGGTCTTTGCTTTTGTAAACGAAGTTTTTTTCCCCCTTTTAATGCATAGGCACTGCAATTTCCTTTAGTCAAATATAAGTGTGTATGTGTGTGTGTGTGTGTGTGTGTGTGTGTGTGCACGCGCGCATGTGCCTGGGCATATATGTGCACGGGTTTCTTTTGAAAGGATGGCTTGCTCATCTGTGAAAAAGATGGTTTTCTCAAACTGTTGTGCTTGAAATCCTGGGCTAGGGCTGGTGGTGCTGTTGCTGAAGTTAGGTGATCTTGGTGCCCACTTGTAATACTTGGAAGGATAAAACAGCTCAACTTTCCCCCCTCTCTTTTGCTCCAGAATTGATTATCTTAAACTCAGCAGCAAACAGCTACCCCATAACTAGTTTGCATTTCTTAGCCTCTCAGCAGCATTCCTGCCTCAAGTATTCAGTTCCTCCAGGCTGTTACAAGCCAAATAATTGTTCTCTTGAATGCCTTCCTCCTCCATGATCAATACACCTTTGAATGTTTTCATCGCAGCAGAAATCCTTCAAGTGGGTTTTTGGGCTCTGTTATGCCTAATTGTTGCTTTCTCCACTGTACGTTTTAGTTGGAGCCCAGATTAGCGTTTTCTGCATCATTCAAAATATGGGATCGGTTTCAAGAAGTTTAGGATTTCACAGACTTCTTGCTAGAGAGGGAAACCAAATTCTAGTTGCTAGAAAGATCAAGGTTGCTCTTTAACCTTTTGAAGTTAACCATCCACCCATCTCTGAGAGCGGTGTGGGGCTTTTTGTTAAAAAATCTATTTCCAGTCCCTCCAAGCAAGAACCAGCCCAGCAGCACAACCCGTGTGTGTGTGTGTGTGTGTGTGTGTGTGTGAGTGTGTGTGTGTTCAATCCAGAGGTGTGTTGTGGGCTGAATTGTGTAGCTCTGAAGTTGGAGCAAAGGAGTCTTAGTGCTAAAATCACCTTCGATCAGTCACCGTTGTGTTATTGTATGTTAGTGAGGTGTTTAAATTTAGCAGGCTGCTCTCTTCTGACGAAAACCATTTGTGACAACGTGTCAGTTGTTTCTTTGGTGATTTGTGTCACTGGCTTCTCTACAGATGCTGTGCAAATTAAGTTGTTAATGGGGTCCAATATCGGAATGCTAAATGTGTTAATATCCTGAATTAAACCCAGGCCAGCCTCCTCCTCCTCCTCTGCTGGGGACTAGTTGGTGGAGGCCCGGAGCTCCTGTAATTTAATCCTGAGCTATCATCTTTTCCTTTCTGCCTGCCGCCCATCCTGAACTCTCCTCCCAGCAAACCTGGGGCTCTTCTGAACACGTCTCCATCCTACACTGGGGTTCCAGGCCCAGGCTTCCTTTCTGGACTCTTTTTGGCCTTGTCACTGTCTCAGACGGCCCGACACAGACAGGACGTTCTTCTCTAGCCTTCTTCCTGCCCTGGCTTGAGTCTTCCCAATGGAAAATTCCAGCCCTGTCGGTTGGCGACGCACCTCTTGCTCCTTGTGGAGTTGTGGTCTGATGGAATCACATTCTGAGTGGTGGCTGAGTGGAAAGTTCTAGCGCCTCCAGCCCTTCTTCACACCTATAACCTCACGGCTTCACTTCTTCCCGGGGCCTGGCTTGGGAGGTGGTATGGGGGGAAGATCTGGAATGGCCCAAGTTCCAGCGGAGAGGGAGAGAAGGTTCTGGAAGACTTTCCAGCTAAAGGTGCTTGCTTACCTTCCTTCTCTCCCCATCCCCGATTCTTGGTGGGGTCTTTCCTCATTCCACTTTTGTGGGGGAGGATAATTAGTCCAGCTCTAGAGGGAGCCAAGCCTGCCCTACAAGGACCCACCATGGAGGGGTGGGGGGTGCACAGACCCCTAATTCGTGGAGTCGATGCTGATTGTTGGAATTGTTTTGCAACCAGAGTGGGCATATTTCACTACTTTTTAATTTAACCTGTATCTTTTTTTTTTTTCCTCCTTGTGTTCCTGCCTCATCAGAGAATTGTAAGATTTTGCGGGGGGGGGGGGGGGCAGTCTGGGAAATACTCACTGCAGAGTTTAGAGATGAGAACTCTGGGAACTCTGCGAACCCTTCCCGCTGCCTGACTTTGAACCCAGTGCTGGCAGTGAGAAGCTTGTTTGTTTGAAGGCTGGGTTCTCATGAGCCCAAAGGGGTAGGTTGTAATTGTGTATCCAAAAAGATTTTGCTTCTTTGCATACCCAATAACATGACAATTGGAATAGTAATTTGACTTAAAGAACCATCTAGGGTTTTAAAGAAGCCCTTTAGGAATCTTAACACTGTTAAATCAGGTTTGTCCTTTCTCCTGTGGTGGAGAAGGATGGGGGCTTGTCTTACCGGGTGGGCTGTGGCTAGGCTTCTCAGCGGCTGCCCCCAGGCAGGTTCTAGCTCACCTAAACATGAACATAATTTGCTCTATTTCAGCTTGGCTGAAGAGGAAATAAAAACAGAACAGGAGGTGATAGAGGGCATGGATATTTCTACTCGCTCCAAAGGTGAGTAAAATTCTTACATTATCTATTTCTGTACAAAGGAAGGAATGGGGTTTTCTTTTTATTGTTGGGGAGCCGGTGAAGGGTGGCCCTCTGAGCTGGCATTGCAACAGTCCGTGAAGTGTGAGATGTGGACCCTTTGATGGCTGAACCTAACTTCTGGAGAAATCTTTTGATCGTCTTTCCCCTGCATGTATGCATAGGTGTACCTACTTGTCGGGAATTGTCCCGACATTCGGTTTTGGGTATGTGTTGGGCCTGGGGATGGGCAGCTGCTGCTGGCTTCCTGATTTTAGCAACAGGCCTCTTTGGAATCTCAGAAGTGGGATGAAGTTGGCCTGGTGCCTTGGGAAACGGTGGTCTTGGGTCAGAGATGAGAAGGAAGATCTGGGCTTTCTGGAATGCTGGGGGCAGTGTTTGCATTTAGGGCAAATCGTGGCACATTAGGGCACATCCAGTTTGTTTGCTCAGGGTGTGAGCAGACTCCTCCGCAGGTGGCTGAGGGATTGGTACTCCTCGGCTGGTCTGTGAGACTCACAGGCCTCTGCAGAGGGAGCAGGTCCTCACTCCTTCCTCAGTGTGCTTTTAGAAGTGAGCTGCTGAGTCCTCTTCAGGTCTGGTTGACGAAAATGCTTGTCCCTGAACTTAATGGCTGTACCAGTGTGTTTATTCCTTTAGCACCTCCCTGAGTGCCTGCTCTGTGTGCAGGGAAGTGGGAGGGGCTGCAGAGAGGGCGCTTACAGATTATTCCAGAAGGACATTCTCATCTGGCCAGAGGATCACAACAAGTGACTCCCTAAAGGCTCCTGAAACAACAACAACAACAAAAATGTTTTGAGGATTTTTATAAAGCAGCATGTCTGTCTCTCTCTTTCTCTCTCTCTCTCTCACATACACACACACACACACACACACACACACACTTATTTACTCATTTTTCGCAGTACTGGGGTGTGACCAGGGCCTTGTGCATGATAGACAAGCACTTGACCACTGAGCTGCACCCCCAGCTCTTTTTATTTTGGGTCAGGGTATTTGCTAAGCTGCCCATGCTGGCCTTGAACTCGGCGATCCTCCTGCCTCAGTTTCCCTAGTGACTGTGATGACAGGTCAGCATGGCATTTTGGGCCCAGCTGAGGCTCAGATCACCAGCAAGGCTGGGCTGGCTGGGGGTGGCCTGTGCTGGGGAGTAGGGGGAGGTCGCAGCTCCTTCCTGTGGAGGGCCATTGGGTTCCATTGTTGGGGAGAGTCACGGAGTACCTCATGCAGAGGAAGTGCCTTTCCAGAGCCGTGTTTGGAGATAGTTGTGCCCCTCGCCTGCTTGTGGCTGGGTGCAGTGAGCCTAGAGAGGTGTGGTGGCCGTTGTCCTTACTCTGCTGCTTGCTGTCTGTCTGACCTGCTGTTTTCTTATCTGTGAAAGGGGTGCTGAGTTCGAGTCTAAGGCTCCCTCTTCCCCCACAACTATAAAAATGGCCTTGTGTCTGTGGAGTGCTTATGAAGGCTTGGCCCATACCTGGCGCCTTCTCTTGTGAATTCCTCTAATCTTTTGTCTTTGTGGTGCAGGGCTTGCGCATGCTAGGCAGGTGCTTTGCCACTGAGCCTCACCACATCCCCTTTGGTTTCTGATTAATTAATTATTATTATTTTTTTTGTATCGGGGATTAAATCAGGGGTGCTCAGTTACTAAGCCACATCCCCAGCCCTTTTTAATATTTTATTTAGAGACAGGGTCTCGCTGAGTTGCTTAGGGTCTCATTAAGTTGCTGAGGCTGGCTTTGAACCCGTGATCCTCTTGCCTCAGCCTCCCAAGCTGTTGGGATTTCAGTGCGTGCCACTGCGCCCAGCTGATTTTTTTTTTTTTTTTTGAGGCAGGGTCTTGTTAAGTTTGAGCTTGTGACCCTCCTGACTCAGCTTCCTGGGAGGCTGGGGTTGTAAGCCAGCGCCTTTGTGCTCAGCCGCCAGTCCCCTTCTGAGGTGGGAGCTGTCATTTCCCCTTGCAGATGAGGAACCTGAGGCTCCAGATGGTGGGGTCTCCTGGGTGGTCAGCAGCACAGCAGGACTGAACTGAGACTGGCTCCAAGGAGGTGCCTCCTGGATGTGCCTGCAGTGGCCCGTGGACCCTCACGGTGACAGTCAGGGATCACCATCTCGAGCAGGGCACCGCCCTGCTCAGGCCCCCGCCCTGCTCAGGCCCCATCTGCCTGTGGAGACGCCTCTTCTGTTCCTGTAAGCGTGGAGACCTCTTCTCTTCATCTCACGCCCGGGTGCTCCTGACTCGTCACCAGGTGGCAGCCCCTCTGCTGCCTGAGTGACTGCTTCCGGTGACCATGGCCTCTCCCTGCTGGAGCTAGGAGGATGTTAAAAAGCCTCTCTTTTTTGCTGGCCCCTCCACCGACCTGCCAGCACCCTCCGTTCCAGTCTGAAGTCCCTGTGCCCTGCCTCCCGGGATGGCCTTGCTGCCTTCCTCTTGTGACATCCTTTCTCCTCGGGCCATTTCTCCCAACTCCACTCCAGCTCCTGGTCTCCTTCCGTGCCCTCCTTGGGGCCTGTGTGCCCTCTGTCTGGAACACGCTGCCCTAGGACCTGGCTGCCTGTCTTGTTGCTTGGATTCGTCCCCGAGGGTGACTTTTCTTGGCCGCCTGGTCTGAAGGAGTCGTTCCTTCATTTTCTGTTGTTTTTTGAAATAAACTTTTTGCGTTTTAGAGTCACTTTAGATTTCCAGAAAAGTTGTGAAGATAGTGCTGAGGATTCCCACGTCACCCGGCCTGCGCGCCTACCCCACCCCGCTCCTAGCATCCTGGGTGCCAAGCGTTGGTCAGAGTCCGAGTCGGGGTGGCATGTCATCACCAACACAAGCCTTTGCTGTGTTCAGATGTCCTTAGTTTTGCCACCGAGGCCCCTTTCTGTTCCAGGCTCCCCTCCGCCATACCTGGTTGTCTTCTCTCCTCAGGCTCCTGGCTGTGACAGCTTTTCAGCCTTGCTTTCGATGACCTTGACAGTTTTGAGGCGTGGGCCAGGCGTTTGGTAGGTTGCCCCTTGCCTGGGTTCATGTGGCGCCTCTCAGGATGGATGGCGAGTTGCTAACCTCAGGATTGGCGGGATGGGTTTTTTTTTGGGAAGAACCCCTGAGGTACAGTGCCATTTCCGTCACATTAAGGGTGCCTGTTATCAGTGTGACTTACATCAGTGCTGATGTTGACCTTGGCCACCTCGCCTTGGTGACAGTTCCTTCGCTGTTCATATGGTGTCCTTTGGAGGGAGGTCGCCCAGGCCACACTTAGAGTGGGGGGTCCACTCCACCTCCTGAGGGCGGAGGAACTAAGGAAATTATTTGGAGCTTTTCTGTGTGGGAGGTTCTTGTTTCTTCTGCCCTCTTTGTTTGTTTATTTAATCCTTCATGTGAGTGTGAATTTAAGGATGATTGGTTTATATTTTGGGTTGTGATACAATGCTAATTATCTATTTTATTGCACATTGTTCCCATTTTGGAAGTTGAACCCCCCCTCCCCATAACTGGGGATTGAACCCAGGACCCCTCTGCCACTGAGCTACATCCCCATCCCTTTTTATTTTTTATTTTGAGACAGGGTCTCACTAAGTAGTGGAGGCCTTGAACTTGGGATCCTCCTGCCTCAGCTGCCTGAGAGCTGGAGTTACGGCATCCGCCACCTCACCTCGATCTGTTTCTTTCTTTTTCTTTTTTTCCTTAATTGGAGAATGGTATTAAAAATCAAGATCTGGGGCTGGGGACATAGCTCAGTTGGTAGAGTGCTGGCCTCACATGCACAAGGCCCTGGGTTCAATCCCAGCACCGAAAAGAAAAAGAAATCAAGATCTGTGTGCTGGGCATGCTCACGGTTCCTGGGTGTCTGTGCTTCTAGGTTCTCTGATTGACAGGAGGGAAACATTTACCTGTGAGGTCGCCAGGGCATAGGCACCTGTCTGTCCGTACTCCTGCATGGACCCATCTGTGTTAGCTAAACGTGAGATCATGAGATCCTGCACTTGACTGCAGGCTTTCCCATTCCTACACGGATCAGCTGTAGCCTCGTCCCTTAGATGAAATCTCCCCTTCAGCAGTGAGAAAGGTGGCTCCTGCTGTCTGCCCTTGGTGTACCATGTCCTGGTGCACAGTTAACCTGATCTGTGACATACAGCTTGACGAATGACCGAGCGAACACTTGGGGCTATGACTCACGTCAAGATGATCGAGCATCGTCAGCTTCCAGAAGGTTCCTTGATCGCTCAGATATTGCTCTCACACTGTATTTGTTGGTTTCTGTGTCAGAATGCGGATGCCTTTTTTAGAAGGGCCTGGGCCTCCATGCTCACTCCTCCTCTCCCTTCGGGGGGTCAGGAACCGCAGAGGTTTCAAAAGCCAAACTCCTCCAGCCAGATCCCCTGGTTCTGGGTTGCCTCCTCCCAAGTTCAGTATTTATTCTTTGTGGCTTGGTTTCCCCACCTGGGGATGACGAGGACACAGGGTTAGTGCTGAGGTGAAGTGGCCCACCTGTAGAGTGCTCAGAGTGGAGTTGGGCCTTGGTGAGGGCCGAGGGGCTGGTCCTCTCTTGCAGAGACGGGCGTGTCCAGGTGGGCCGCCAGGGCAGGTCCTCCTCGCTGTTCTGCTTGCCCCACATCTTCAGCCTCTGGGAAGAGGGTGTGCAGGGAGATGGGAAAACGGTATCCCGACTGACCCCTGCTCAACAGGGAAGGATCATGTAGGGTGGCCCTGCGGACGGCTTGGGACCTCTGTCTAGATCCCGACCCCGGGCACCGCCCTGCACCTGCCTGTCCTGCGGCCCCTGCGGCAGTGGGAGAGCGCTGCTCTGTCGCTGGCTGTTTGGGATGAGCTCCCAGGTGCTCTGTGCCTCGAGCTTGGGTCCCTGGAGGGGCTCACCTTGTTTTGAGGGCGACCTTCCTCTTTACTGGGCGTTTCTGGGAGGCTGTCCTTGGGCAGAGCTGAGTGCTCTTTCCTGGGGAGGGTGTCTGTGGTGGTGGCTTTTGTGTCCAGGACACCTTTCTCACAGAGCCACTGGCACCCGGGGAGGTAGTGACACATGTAGTGACCTGGGCTTGACTGGGTTGCTGAGACCTCAAGAACCCAAAGGTGACATTTGTTTTTTTGGTACCAGGGATGGAACCCAGGGTGCTTACCTACCGAGCCTCACTGCCAGCCCTTTTTGGTATTTTATTTAGAGACAGGGTCTCACTGAGCTGCTTAGAGCTGTATACACTAAGTGGCTGAGGCTGGCTTTGAACTTGGGATCCCTTCCCTCAGCTTCCTGAGTGGCGGGGACTTCAGGTGTGCGCCACCGTGCTTAGCCAGTGGGACATTTGTCAAAGTGGGCAGGACGGCCGTGGAGCCTGATCTCTCTCTCTGCTCCAGTGACCACCGGGTCCGCGGTGCAGGGCTCCTGACTCGGTGAACGCCGGCTACTCCTCCAGCCTGCTTTTCTGTTGGGAAAGTCGGTGCTTTGGTCCCACATGACACTTCCCATCTGTGTTCTTTGGTGAGAGCCGTGGAAGCCAGCTCTCGTTCATTAGGATAGGAAAATGGTCGTGGGTTTTCACCAGGAAGGCCGGTGGTCCGGGTGGCTCTGGGGAGTGGAATCAGTCTGTGGCCTCTCATGGACAAACAGAGTCTGTGTGTCATGTGTCTGTCCTTTGGTTAGGGAAGGCACCCACCAACACTGTCCCCTCCAGGGAAGAGAGAGTTCTAAAAGGAGCGGAAGGGACCACCTTGGCATGTGGGGAAGCGGGTGGCGGTACTCTGCTGGCAGTTAGGAAACAGGGTGGGCCGTGCTCTACTTGGGAACCTCGGACACTGCTGATTGGCCCAGAATTCTTTCCTCCTCCTCCTCCGGCGTCTGCTCCTTACACCTTCCAGGTTATCTGACTGGATTTCCACCTGCGCCCTCTGCGCAGCGAGCTCACCTGTTAACCACGTCCCAAGTCCCCCTTTCCATTACGCCAGCCTTGGCATTTTTCAGGGTGTTCACTTCTCAGAAGACAAAACTTTCAGGGTTTCAAGATGACACTGGACATTTGTGTCCAAGGAAGTGTCATCTGGATGCCAGGGGTGTTTGCGGGGCTCATGTCTTGTGAGCACTTACTGGGCTCACAAAAAATCTGCAGATGACCACATTTGGTTCTATGAGCATGGCTTGGTGTGGGTACGCTGTCCCCGTTTTATAGTGAAGGAAATCGAGGCTCCTGTGAGTCGACAAGAGTAGCACTACGGTCAGACTTGGTCTTTGGCTTTAAGCCTTTCACTAACCATGGACCGTACCCAAGGGTTCTGAGTTAAATACGTGTAGGGCCCAGCAAGCAGGTCGGTGGCATGTGGGATTCTGGGGGCTTCTGTGAATGGGGGTGCTTCCATTTCGTTGTTGACCCCTAGGGATGTGGCCTACCTGGTTTAGAAATGTGGTAAAAGAGAGAGGAGAGATGTAGTCTAGGTACACCAGCTTTTCAAAGACTGTGGATGAATTCAACGAAACATATCTTGAGATGGAAGTGGCCGAGGACTGTCAGTTTGCATTCTCTGTGTTGGGTTGGTCACAGCAGAGTTCTTGCCGGACTTTGGGCACCCTATGTGTGAGTCAGGACAAGCCCCTGGAAGGTCTGGCTCTAGAAGCTTGAAGAGTGATGGGCGCGGGTTGAGTCCTGTCTCTGTACAGGAGGCACTGACCTGCCATGCACCGTCCTGCCGTGCATGCATTCACAGCACCGATTGTGGTATGCGTTTGCCAGGCTGACAAAGCTGAAAACATTTTAAAAAAATGTCTGTGTAATGTCACCGGCACAAGGGAGTGAGCCACTTGGAAACCAGGCACAGATGCAGCGGAAGCCTGAGATATTAAAATCCTGCACGGTACCGTTGTTGCTGAGATCTGCCTGGGTAGGAGATGTTTTCAGAGACAGGATGCTAGAGAATATACAATTATAGCAATTTGCTAACCAGCCCCAGACCTTAATTAGTACAGGATCCTCGTTTTCATTGTTGTATGTAAATTAAGATTCTCACAAAGGGATTGTTTA